AAAATCTGCACATAAAAGTACATTGGAATCATATACCATGTTGCAAAATTGGCAACTGAGCAATGTCTTTATAACGGCATATGTATATGTACATCCATATTTGGTAGTCCTACAACAGATCCTACTCTTCAAAGAAGAGTACTATAGCTGTGTAATCTAAATCTGCTTTGAAAGGACTAAATTATTAAATAAAATTAAATTATTATTATAAAAGTTCATGTAGGTCAAATAGTTGTGTTGTGAAAATTAGCAGAATATTGTATTCAAGGAATTAAAATAACATGGACTGTAAATTAAGATTTATATTTTATATTTTTGTATTTTAAAAATATCTATCTATCATGATTATGGCAGGGATTCCTACTAGTAGATTTAGCAAACCAAATTATTTGTCAAAATAGTGGTTAAATGAAGGCATATTTTTATAATGCTTGTATTCCAGTTTCCAATAATGGTTTAAAAGAAAACACATTTTCCAATATCCWATGTCCTATTCTTTCCTTCCTTGTTTGTTTTTTGCAAATCTCACTTCCTAGTTTTCCTAGTCTCACTACTCCTCGACCAATGGATTGGAACTAGAATTTTGGGCTTCCTGTGTACATCTTCATTTCGTAGAACTTTACGATTCTCAATTCACAGTTTGATGTTGAGGTAGTTTATAATTCCGGACGATGTCGAATCTGACGATAGAAGGTCACGGTTTTGGACGAACCATAACGCTAAATGATGGCTACAGGATCCCTATGTTTGGTCTGGGTCTCTTTCGATGCGAACCAAAACAAGCTGTTGATATAACAGCTGAAAGCTTGCAAAAAGGCTACCGTTTGCTTGACACCGCGGTGTTTTATGGGTATATGCTACTTTCATTACTTTTTGCTAACACATTTTCATGTTTGCGTGATGTAGGAAGTTCTTATTATTGTTGCATGTTTGAGACATCCGAGCGACTCGCCTACTAAATAACCATTATAAATTTTTCCGTTTCATACTTGGAAAACTATGAGTGAAATAGTTAGCGTTTTGATCTTGTTARKTGTGTMAYAAAGTGTTTAACTGCGTGATTTTCATTGTAGTCAAT